GACATGGTACAATACTAACAGAGTTACGGACATTACTTTATAAAACTCAATGTGATGACTTTTGGTTTCACACGGGACATGAACAGTGGTCCCCTGGGTGAAAGTTCCGTGTTTGTTTGACCCATCCAGGTTGGTCAGTCGATCAACCATTTTGGTCCTAACTGAAATATCTCAACAAATATTGGATGGATTTCCATGAAATTCTGTACAGGCATTCATGGTACCCAGACGATGAATGCTACTGGCGTTGCTTTTCCCCTGACATTACTCTTGTTTGTGGTTCAGAATACCTTGACAACTGACATTTAAGGTCAACCCAAGGATCAACTGTAATAACTTTGATAACTTTTCATATAGCGCCGTCATCAGCAAAATTCAGTTAGTCCATTTCTTTGGTTTACGACAAAAAACGTAAAAATAAGTGACATTCTCATCGGCCTCGGCTGTATTTTGTCTTTAGTGCTAACTAGCAAACGTTAGCATGCTAAAGATTTGTTTGTTCACATAGTAAAGTCCAAATGATGGTCTTAAATGTCTTTTAAAAGTAGCAACATCTGTATTCATAGAGCATCGGCCGTGCTATACCAGAAAGGAGTATAGACTCGGCCAATCTATGTAATATGTATATGCTCCTAAGTCTTACCATAAGTACATCTTTCTGCTCTTCCCATTCTGCTGACATGGCAGAAAGCAGACTAAGTACATCTGAAGCTGAGCAGCACAGCTCTCTTGCCTTCTGCTCTTGGGAATCAATAGTGTCAAGGAAAAAAAAACAACTCCTCAAGGTTTTACACAGTGAGACAGCCAATTTTCCAATCATTTCACACCTTTCTGTGCAAGTGGTTGACGGCCTCCGCTCCCGGTGTGCACTCTGGCTCCAGCAGCACAGGGACAGCGGGTACAGGAAATCATCTGCCGTTGAATGGAAATGGAGGGACTTTAAAGAGTGGCGGTCCATGACCCTGAGAGGTGAAGGGGGCTAATTTCATCTAGCCAGCATCCCGGTATCTCTACCACCCAAGATGGCCACAGCTCTTAATGGAGCCTGTAAAGTGTCACATCTGTTACAGAGGGCTGTAGGGAGCGAGTGGAAAGACAGTTTTACATTTTTTTCTTCATTTCTCTCACTCCTGTTTTCGCAGCTTCCGTTCTGGATTTGCTCTCCTCACCATTAATGAATCAAAAAAACAACTGTGTGTTCTGGTTTTTAAAATGTGTATTTTAATTTATATTAAATCTATATTGATCCCTTTAAGGGGGAAATTTGTCTCTGCATTTGACCCATCCCTGTATATAGGGAGCAGTGGGCTGCCAATGACAGGCAGCCGGGGAGCCGTTAGGGGTTCAGTGTCTTGCTCAGTGACACTTCGACACGTGACACGTCCCAGTGGAGGATCAAACCATTGACCTTGCGGTTACCAGACAACCCTCTTAACCCAGTGAGCCACGGTCGCCCCCGTATAGTGAGTTTATCGGAAGTTTTAATACTGATGTAATCTGGTACTGTGTTAAAAGTCCGAGTCAGCTTTAGCACAATGGGGAGCGGGTAAGGGACTCCTGAACTCTTTACTGGGGTAAGAAATTGATGGATTGAAACCAGATCAGTACCTTGGGACGACTTCTAACATCGCTGGGTGTGAATGTGACTGTGGTGCAGGCTTCCTAGTGTTATTACACTAAGCTAAGCTAAGCTAACTGGCTGCTTGCTACAGCTGCATATCAAAACTTCTGGAGAGGGCAATGTCTGTGTACTTCCCTAAAATCTGTGATTCACACGAACCCTGCGCAAGCGAGATTTGGTACGGGAGATATTTGAAAGCTGATTAACTGTCCAATGCCAACACATGAGAGAGAAACAGTCTTCGGAACAACACCAGCTAAGAAACGGGAAACCTCCAGTGCAGACTTGTCACTACAGAGAGCTAGAGTTAGCATTAGCATGGGGAAAACTTTGACAGTTTATAGTAGAGTGAGCAGTTTTTGGATGTAAACCGAACCCTGCAGCTTCCTTTCCTATCCACCAAACAATTTCAGTAGATATTCTTGTCAATTATGTTGCATTCTGGCCAGCAGGGGGCAACCTCTCTGGTTGCAAAAAGAAGTCAGATTGTCTTGAAGTCTATGAGAAAATGACTACTTCTCACTTGATTTATTCCCTCAGTAAACAATGTCAACATGAGATTATGGTCTCAATCGCTAGCTTCAAGTCTTCTTCAAAACAGTATGATGTTCATTTAGTAATTTATGGTCCCATTTAGAGTAAAATATACCATAAAGCAGGCTATGCTTCAGGGCATGGCTATCTTGTAATTTACATGTTGCTACAGCTACCAGAGCCGTATACGGCATCTCTACGTCACTCCTCCACATTTCAAACATGGGTCCACAAACCAATGAGGGACGTCACGATGACTGCGACCCCTTCTTACATATACATATACTGTGTGTATATATATATATATATATACACAGTCTATGGGCCAACCTAGCGCAAGCAGAAGTGTTGGTGGGCGGTTCAAGGCCAAAAGCAGAATTTCTGAAGAGGAAGAAAGAGTAGATGTGCTTACAGCCCCTTTTTTCTCTTTTTATGCGGAAAAACCATGTTAAACAAAATATTAATCATAACAGAGTAGTTCCACACATGTCTCACAGGAAACTTTAAATAGCTGTTTGGGGGTCCAATGTGGAAAGAATGTCCAATATCTTACAAAATACATCAAGATTAGAGAGAATTCTACCTTTAAAAACTTAAAAATACTGAAGACACTTAAATAAAACTTAATTTCAACTGTCACATACATACAATTCAAGATGAGTCAGTCCTGTACAGACTCGATCGCCACAGTCGCTCCCCACCGACTGCGTGACCCAATGCATGATGGGAAATGCCTGTCTGACGACAGATCGAAGAGCTGATTGGCTCTTAGTTTTAACAACAAACACCACGTTTTCTGTGTAACTGTTATACTTAACGCTAGATTTCTGGCTATTAGTCTCATGTTGTGCAATGACGGTTTAATCTAAAAACATATCTTGTGTCACACAAGATATGTTTTGGTAATAATAATGGTAATGTGATGCAAATGTTTTATCCTCTACACCTGTGCTTTTCCTACTGTGACATTTTGAAACGTGTTCCCTGCATGTTACATTGTCTATCAGCTGCGGTTACAGGCGATATGTTGCTAGATTTCAAGCCAACGTGGATGGAAGTTTTGATTTTATTTTGTTTGTATCACTTTTAACATCTCCGAGGTACATTCTCAAAAGAGACACAGACGACCATAAAGAGGGTGTTTTAGAATCTCGGGCTACATCTAGATAACCAGTGCCCCCTTGTGGTGGAAAGAAGTCAGCATGAAATAATAATAAAAAACTGTAATATGTACAATGTCACCCAGACATCTAACCCAAATCAGTTTATTCTCTGCTCCTTTAGAATCGCCAACACACACTCCTGCTGTTATGATTCAAGGAGTATCCGGTAGAATGCTTTGTTATATTTCTTGCACACTTTCTTAACGTAACGTAACAATTTTGCATCAAAGCTGTTTGTTTTAAAAGCACTTCAGAGTTTAAAAAAAAAGATGTAACCGGACTGACAGCCACCTTCCCCACAGAAAGTCCACAGCGTGGGGCAATCAATCAGAATCAAAGACAGGAGAACTTAATCTGCTAAGTGCAATATGTGCATGAATATATCTAGATGGCATTAGAGTCTAAATCAACAATAATACAATAACATACTATTCTAAATACTTACACTTACTTACACAAAGAGAGGGGTGCAAATTCCACATAGTGTAAGATGTAATATACAGTATTTCTATATGACATGTCCTTGGTTTATAGTAAACCTGTCGGTAAATGATCACATCATTTTACTTTTTTAATGTGGCATTACTATTGCAGTGGGCCTCTGATGTTATGGAATAATATTCCATCTACACATTTTGGTATTTGTGTTGTTTTACTTTGAGGATGTAAGAGACGGATGCATCAGAAGCATGTCAACCAGCATCCCATCTGTGGGCGAACTCAATAACATTCACACCTATCAAATAAAAGCACTATCTGGCTTACGTCTCTGTATGTTTGACTGCAATGCTGCAGCATAATTCAGTAGATTTGACACAGAGCCCTGATGAAAAAACACAGAGAGAGTCATTCATGACCTGAAGGAATGGGTGTGATGCAAAGAGATCATCTTTACTACAATATCACATGGACATGCTGACAGTGTCAACTTACAGTGGCCTCAAACACTCTTCCATCCTATCATTCTCGTCCCTCCATCAGTGCCCACTCATAATAAGAATAATAATAATAACAATAAGGAAATATTACATGTGCAAGCTGTGGAAGTTTGGATTCATCCGGTGTTGTTGGTGAAATACGTTGTGCATATTGCGCCTACCCTATTAAATTATTATTCAAATTCCAATGTGCAATTGTACATGATCATATAAGTTAGTGTATTTTGTAGGCTACATATTACAAGCCTTGTGTTGTTTTTGGTGCATTATTTTCAGTACATCTTTCCTTGTTTTATTTAATTACTATCACCTTCCTATATTGAATCATAATGTGCCTCTATTAAAGCATGCTCGTGAATATAATGTTCTCTTCTTGGATTATAATGACATCTTTTGCATGCAACGGAATGGTTCTGTTTTTTTTTTTTCTGTGATTGTTGGTCAGTAGCGCTCCACATCACACCACCTTTGCAGTGCACGTGCGCTCACTGTAAAAACGTGATGGCGGCTGTCGCATGATGGCTCGGTGTGCGCAGGAACCAATAACAGCGCGGAACCGGGGGAAATGTGGATGTATTTGGGAGTAGTGCGTTTTGCAGTTGGTTTGCGGAATTTACTGACAGCACCGAGTCCAATGGCAGCTTCGCGAAGTGGATTGTGGGGCCCGTAGTCAGACAGCGGAGAAAAGAATGCTAATCGAGGGCACCGCCGTAAGCGCTTCTACTACACGTCCCAGAACACACTGCGGTATTGGAGCTGTGTGTATGTGAGGTAGAGGCAGCGAGAGCGAGAGAAGAGGGGTAGATTTAGGAATTCGTCTGCAGACTTGGTGCTGCGCTGTTATAGAAAAATGGTAAGTACACGAACTGAAACCCAGACGTTTTGTTGAATAATGGCCTCGTTAGCTATAAAACAACGCAGGCACACCGTTGGCTGTTAGCAGAGTTCGCCAAAGGCCGTTAGTAGCAGTGATTGCTAACAGAAAATGTACCAACAGCTAGCTAACTTAAGCTAGCAAATGAGCCACTTCAGCTAGCTATTTATCGCAGTTTTAAACGGCCGTTGACAAGATAACGGTCGATAAGAAAGTGCACTGTGTGCCGTCGTTTACAGTAGCTACCTTGCGAAACGCTGTTATACGCTATATACCATACTTATTTATCGGTGTTTGAACATTAAGCTAGCTAGCTGTCAGTATTCAACTTTGGTCCGTTGTGTGTGTGTGTTCCGCCCCCTTCTCCGTGTCCAGGCTCCTCTTTACGGCAACCTCCTGCCTTGTGAAAAGAGACAGTGACGCTGCTAGGAGCGGATTAGAGGTCCTGGATAGTTTCACTGGCCTGATTCTGCAACCTAGTACCATATGAGCCCCACGGTCCTGCATACCTTTCTGTTTACATCAGTATCTAGTTGTCCGGGTCACTGGTTTTTGCCTGTCACTTTTTCCCCTCTCCCCTTTGTCTCTGTGTTGCTCCCTCCCTCTCCCTCGCACTGTGTGTTTGAGGGGTTGCAGATGCTGGTCACTGAACAGTTTCCATCATTAGATTGTTGATAGGACCCTGGGTTAGTGCTGCCTTCAGTCAGACAGCTGTTTTGTGTTTTTTTCCCTGCTGCCTCAGCTCTGTGTATGTCTCAGGAGGAGGGTCATAAACCTAAATGAGGGGTCATCAGTGCAAAGAAATGTTCATTTACAATGTACAGTTTAAGTAGAAAACCAGTTAAGACTACTTTTTGTTAAAATGTGAACTTCCTCCATTCAGTGTTTGCTGCTGAGATTGTGAGTTTTTCTTGTATTAGTTTTGTGTTTAAGCATGTAAATATGTCATGCACATTATTATATCACTTTTAATGACTAGCAAAACGTCAGGTTGAGCAAAACCTGGAACTCCTTCGGAAATAATGAACGCAGCTTTCAGAACACAGGTGTGATATTGATAAGAACATATCCACGGACAAAAGACTTGGACAAACGACAAAGCTAGTCTTATCACAACATCAATATTTGATGATTATGTTGCCCGGTTTTAATAAGAATATTAGTTTCCGAGCGTTAAATTACTGACTGAACTTCCTGTATTCAGCCATTGCAGACTAAATATGTGCTTCGAGTCTCATTTTCTTTCACACTTCTGCAAACTAATTTAAAAACAATCCAGTTGAACAAAGTAAACCATAAAAAACATATTTGCTGTTATGACTTGAGTGGAATCATTATGTTGGATCGTGTAGTTGTGCTTGAGACCGGTAAAGTAGGTCAAACGTATATCCAACAACAATAGATCCACTGTACATGATCCATAATGCACTGCCTCTCATCTTACGTAGCGTTCAGCTGTCCTGTAGCAACTGGCAGTCTAACATTACTTGGGCCAAGTGTTGGTGTGTGTTTTCTCTCTCTCTGTTAAAACACAAAGCCGACTTATGGTCAGCATTATGTATCGATCCTGATTTCAGTCAGGCTCCTGTGGTGTTGCTCAGAATTTTTGTGCTATGTGTCTCAACCATAGACTGTATATAAGAAGTGGACATAGTTATTGTGACGTCACCCATTGGTTTGTGGACTACGGTTTTGAAGCCTCGAGTTCAGCGATTTGGCCGTCGTCATCTTGGCTTTTTGCAACCAGTGAACGGAAGTGACCATATTTGGACTGCGGAGGCATAGAGACGCCGTAAACTGCTCTGGTAGCAGCAGTAACCTGTTTAAGACTGCCCTAAAGCATACTCTGCTTTATGATCTATTTGACCCTAAATTGACCATAATTTACTAAATGAACATCATGCTGTATTGAAGAAGACTTGGAACTAGAGATTGAGACCATAAACTCATGTTCACAATGTTTACTGAGGTAATACAGTGGGTACGGAAAGTATTCAGACCCCTTTAAATTTTTCACTCTTTGTTTCATTGCAGCCATTTGCTAAAATCAAAAAAGTTCATTTTATTTCTCATTAATGGACACTCAGCACCTCATCTTGACAGAAAAAACAGAAATGTAGAAATTTTTGCAAATTTATTAAAAAAGGAAAAACTGAAATATCACATGGTCAT